CCCCTCTCTCCCTCTCTCTCTCCCTTCCCCTCTCTCCCTCTCTCTCTCCCTTCCCCTCTCTCCCTCTCTCTCTCCCCCTATCTCTCCCTCTCTCCTTTTCTACCCCCCTTTCTCCCTTTCTCCACCCTCTCTCCCTCCCTCCCTCTCTCTCCCTCCCTCTCTCTCTCTCCCTCCCTCCTTAGTTGTAATGTCAGCACTGGCAAAGATTATATATTTTCTTTGTGCTTCAAGTCAGAAATCCTCCGTGCTTTGTTTAATGTTCTTTTGCTAAATGTGTGAACCAAAATGGTACAATTGATTTGTTTCCCAAATATTTGGAGCATTTCCCCTGGATCTTACGCCCTACAGAGGAAACAACTTTGAGCAAATAGTGACGTTTTATCTCTTTTTCCACCCTGTAATTCCCCCACCCCTTTTTTTGACTGTAGTCCTGTGGAGATGAGAAGTGGGGGGACTGGAGACCACACCTGGCTGTCATGCTGTCTAATCAAGTAGGAGACCGGGACCTGAATTCCAGAGCTATCATCGCTATGGGAGACACCTTGGGTGAGGAAATTCATACAGACATGGGGTGAGGTGGTGGTGGTGGAATGATTTCCAGTTTTAATGCCAGAGGGAGTTGAATCTGCATTCCGTAGTACTTCAGCTGCATACAAATGGGGGAATCACTTAAAGAGGAAAGGCTTTGTGGGGAGAATCACAGAGATGTCATCCCTCTGCCGAACCTTTGATCCTCACTTGATCTTCTCATATAATTCCTCCTCTCTTATCTCCTTTCTTCACATCTGCCTGAAAAAAGAATAACAATATCAGAAATGATCAATGAGGTTGGCAACCACAAAAGAACTAGAACTTTTGTTGTATTTAACTATACAGGATTGGCAAACTATTACAATATCCATGTCTTTAAAAGAGGGGTAATGTGGGTGCATTTCAATGCTACAAAAAGGTTTGCGGTTTCTCCCAATGAGTTTTCTCTTTTCTCACAAGGCTTCCTTTTTCTTAAAACAACCATCGTGCATTTTGTATTCTCTTATGTTTTTTCCAATAGATTAATGCGTGCCTTTTCTCTTTATTCAGCTGGGAAAGGATTAATAGAAGCTGCTCACTTCTGCTATCTGATGGCAAATGTCCCTTTCGGCCACTATCCAGTTCAAACAGATTATATGGTGTTGCTGGGAAGTAATCAGAGGTGAGTGAACAAGAAATAGAAGTTCCCACAATTTTTTTAAAAAAACCATTTAATTTTATACTTTTCTTTCCCAAACTGGGGCTTATCCCTTTCAAAATTCCCATGAGCCACCTTAGCACTGATTCCAAGTTGAAGCTGACCTGAAGCACACCTAACAATATTGGATGGTGCTTGAAGACAAGATAGCATTTTTTGCTGAGGTGGTATGTGATGGTATATGAGGATGGGAAGATAAATAGTTCATGTAGTGGGAATTAGAACTGAATTTAGGATTATATTATGTCTTCAGCAAAGAAAGCGAGCCATGGAAAGGGAATAAAACAATATCATTTGCTAATAGATGCATATTAGATCACAGCAGTGGTGGGTTTCAAAAATTTTTAGAATTTTTTTCCAGTTTGCAACACGCGCATGTGCACCGGTCACCTAGTATTCTGATTTCTAGCATGCTTGCGTGCGTGAAGACTAGCTGGCCGGGCCACATGGGTGCTCCGGAAACCGGAAAATCATCTTTCTGGGAGGCTGCTCTTCTGGTTTCCAGCGCTGTCGCCCGCGTGAAGACGCCGCTGGCCAGTGCGGCGGAATCTGGAAGAGCAATGGGCGATGGCTCACGTGCCTGGAGAGATGGCTCTGTGTGCCACTTCTGGTACACGTGCCATAGATTTGCCATCATGGGCCTATACCATACCAGACAAAAGATTGTTTAATCTTTTCTTGAAACTGTCCAGAGATGAAGCATCCACATCTCTGGGAGGCAAGCTGTTCCATTGATTAATTGTTCTCATTCTCAAGGAATTCCTCCTTAATTCTTTCTTTAACAAGCTTCCACCCATTATTTTTTGTCCTGCCCTCGGGAATTTTGGAGAATAAGTTGATCATCTCTTCTTTGGGACAGCTCTCAAGTACTGGAAGACAGCTATCATGTCTTCCCTAACACTTCTTTGTTAAAATTAAGTTCCCTTAACCATTCATTAGTCATTCATTTCTACTATTATGCTCTGTAAACCAGACTAAAGTGAATGCCTCTGAATCAGTGGTGGGTTTCAAAAAATTTTCGAACCTACTCTGTGGGTGTGGCCTGCTTTCCGGGTCCACTGGTGGAACCTCTTCTAACCGGTTCAGT